TTTGGGGGCGGCGGCGACCAGTGAAAACGGCAAAGGACGGGCCACAGAGGCAAGGACGCAAGGGTATCCTAGATGAAGGCGCGCGTCCTTACTAGGCGCGTTGACTGTACTTCCTCCCCCGGATCTGCGATGTCTTGTCTGCTTCACTGCGGGGTCACCAAGAAGTCCCATCCTCTCCCCCAGGGCCGGATTTTTACCCCGAGTCGCTGTCCTCTGGAGGTGGGAGAGGGGTATGGTATAAAGGGGTGTGGTGCGCCAATTTTATGTAAAGGGGAATCTGGCGCTGTGATTTATCGCAGATAGCATCGCCATTTCCACGATTGGCACCGTACCCTTTTATACCACACCCCTTTCCGACCTCCAGATGTCTGAGGGTCCAGGGGCCCGGCGAGGGCCCCAGGAGGCCGAAAACAGGCAAAAACCCACCGTCGCGGTCTATTCTCGACGTGGCCAGGATGCCTCAGGTCGAGGCCTCCAGCATGGGGTCCTAGTAGATGGGGTCGGAGGATCGCGCCGCATCGCAAATGCATCGCCAATGCATCGGCGACGTTGGTGAAAAATCGGCGCCATCGGCATTGGAAAACTCTGGCTCCACATCGAACCGCGTTGCCGATGCATCGGCGATGAGGAGCGATCTCCCGACCTCATCTACTTGGACCCCATTTGGGAGGCCTAGATCCTAGATTAAGTACCTCCTCCTCCTCCTCCTCCTTCTCCTCCCCCTCCCATCTCATCCCCCTCCCCCCTCCTCCCACTGTTCCTCCTCCTCCCCCTCCACCTCCATCCATTTCCTTATACGTAACTCCTCCCTGTCGCACCCCGCGGCCGGTCGAAAGGGCGGACTGGGCGTTTGGTCTGAGACTTCCTCAACACCTATGACCATGATGCTAAACAACTGTCAACAGATTCACGAATGGAGTGTCGGTGGTTTCAACATGTGGCTCTCACCTTAACGCCGCGCACATTCGTGCTAGAAATTGCAAGAGCTTCGCAGATTGAGGGCGGGTGGTTTTCACAATCTAACTCTCGCCTTAGGCCCGCGCGCATTCGGTTCAAACAGTTGTTGAAGTTTCACGGACTGAGGGCGGGTCGGATTCATAATGTTGCTCTCGCCTTAGCTCCGCGCACATTCTTTTTAGAAGTGTGTAAGAATTTCACGGCCGGGTCACTTTCAACATGTAGCTCTCGCCTTAGCGCCGCGCACATCCGTTTTCACACATTGCAAACACTGAGCGGATTGAGGGCGGGTCGTTTTCAAAATGTGGCTCTCGCCTTCGCGCCGTGCACGCTCGTCAATTTCAAAGGAAAAATATTGCAAGAACTTCACGGATTGAGGGCGGGTGGCATTCCAAATGCGACTCTCGCCTCAACACCGCGCACATTCGTTTGTAATACACTTACAAGACTTATGGGCTTTCATGCTCACCGTACCAGAACTGGTGTTTTGGAACGATTCAGGGTTGTCAGGGCGCAACAGTTACGTTGGATCGCGGTGTTGAAGCCCCAGGAATGGCGTTCTGGCGCGATTCAGGATCGCCACGACGTGCGCAACAGTCAGGTTAACTCGTGGCGTGAAGTCCTGAGAACGGTGCTCTGGCACGCTTCAAGATGTTCACACGGTTGTCCCCCAACGGGGCAAATCCCTGTGGAAATGACCCCTTATAAGGGGCCTATGAAGAGGGATCTTGGAGGGAGGATGTAATTCAACATCGTGGGTGAGTCTTGGGTTTGCACTGGTCCTATTTCTCTTCCTCCTCTTCATCATCCTCCTCCTTCTCCTTCTCCACCCCCTCCTCCTCCCCTCCCCTCCTCCTCCTCCTCCTCCTCCTCCTCCTCCTCCTCCTCCTCCTCCTCCTCCTCCTCATCCCCCTCGTCCTCCTCCTCTTCCTCCTCCTCCTCCTCCTCCCCATCCTCCTCCTCCTCCTCCTCCTCCTTCTCCTCCTCCTCGGCTCCTCCTCCTACCGCCTCCTCCCCTCCTCCTCCTCCTCCTCCTCCTCCCCATCGGCCCTCCTCCACGTCCTCCTCCTCCTCCTCCGCCTCCGCCTCCTCCTCTCTTCCTCCTCCTCCTCCTTCTACTCATCCTCCCCTCCGGCCTCCTCCTCCTCCTTCCTCCTCCTCCTCGCGGTCCTGGCAAAAAAAACAGAAAAAAAAAAATAAGCAAAAGCTTCACCAGAAAGAGAATGCAAATGCAAAATGAGGAATACATAAGAAGAAATAAAAAAAAAAAAAAAAAAAAACAAGAAAGGCAAAAAAAAAAACGCAAAAAAAAGACAATAAAAAAGATACAAAAAAGACAAAAAAAGCACGAAAATAAACCAGATAAAAAAAAATTAAAACAAAAAAAAAAAAAGAGCCTCCGACGCGCCGCGCCGCCTCCCAGCCCTCGGAACGGCCGCCGCCGCGGCCGCGCCCCCGAGCCGCGCGCGCCGCACGGCCATCGGGCGCCCGCGGCGCGCGCCAGCGCGCCCCGCGGCTGCAGGCGGCGGTCGCCAATAGTGGTCGTCGCCGCCGCCGTGGTGGTCGCCCACTCCTCCTCCTCCTCCTCCTCCTCCTCTACTCCTCCTCCTGCTCCTCCTCCTCCTCCTCCTCCTCCTCCTCTCCTCCTCCTCCCCCTCCTCCTCCTCCTCCTCCTCCTCCTCCTCTCCTCCTCGTCCTCCTCCTCCTCGTCCTGCTCCTCCTTAGCCTCCTCATTCTCCTCCTCCTCCTGCCTCCTCCGTCCTCGTTCCTTTTTTTCCCCCCCCCCCCCCCCCTCCCTCCTCCTCCTCCTCCTCCTCCTCGTCCTTTGTCCTCGTCCTCGTCGTCGTCCTCCTCCTCCCTCCTCCCCTCCTCCTCCTCCTCCTCGTCCTCCTCCTCGCTCTTCCTTTCTCTCCTTACTCCTCCTCCTCCTCCTCCTCCTCCTCCTCCTCCTCCTCCTCCTCCTCCTCCTCCTCCTCCTCCCCCTCCAGCCCCCCTCGCGTCGTGAAACAATCAAGACGGATCGATTTTGCTATTTTCAGACTCTGCGAGCCCTCGCCGGGCCCTGGGGCCGTCAACAGAAGGACTCAGAAGGACACAGGAGGAGAAACTGGTCCTGGGGAATGGGTCGAGACATCTAGGGGTGCACGTCATGGGAAATCCACGACCTTCGGGGGTCTGGGTTCGTCGTCGCCGTTCAGCGGGGCGCGAGCAGCCGCGAGGCTGGGCTGGCCGGGCTGGCGACGCCGCGCGATCCTCCGACACCGTCCGCTGAGGGCCCACTTAAGAGGCCTGGAGCTGGGCTGGCTTGGGCGGCGCCTGGAGCAAGGCTGCGAGGAGCGTCAACGAGAAAGCCGACGGACAACCCGCACGCGGTGGCCCGAACTGGAGGCACAGCGTTCAGGGAGGTACCCTCAGGTCCGGCGTTGCGGAAACCATGCAAGACAGCGAAACATCACGACCGGAGCCCTAAACCGTATACCTTTCGGCCCCGCGCGCGAGCCGGAGGAGGCGCAGCAGGAGGCGAGGCAGGCAGGAGAGCCGCAAAGCGCCACACACACGCGCGCGCGCACGCAGACGCGCTTTCCTCGGGCGCCGGGCGCCTTCGCGTCACCAACGGGCCTCCGACGCCAGCGAAACGAGACACGCGAGGAGACGAGAACGTGCGCGGGGCAGCGAGGCAGCAGCAGCGCTGCCGCCATCGCCGCCATCACACACGCACACTTTCTCATCCTCTGCAGCGTTCCATCAACCACTGATCGGCAAAGGCGGGGCGCCTCCTCTGACGCGCCGAAGAGTCCATCGGCGGGCAACGCAGAGAGACGCATTTGCAAAGAACTGCCCTCCTTGTGAAGTGGCGTGGCATACCGATGGTGCCCAGATGCGCGCGGTGGTAAACCCGTGTCGAAAAACCAGGCGACACGCACGCACTCACGCACTGACATGAAAATAACAGAACACGAGACCCCGACTACGGCCAGGAACTTTTGCTTAGCGTGTTGTAGCGGCGGCCCAAGCGACACGCTATGCCCTGCGAGCCGTGTCGCTCCGCTCCCCGGGGCGGGAGGCTGGGAAAGCCTTGGCACGTTGACGCCTGGGAACGGGGACGTGGATAGCGCGTCGCGTCGCAGCGCGGTGGGCCAGACCCGGCGGAGCGACACGCTCAAGTCCCCGACCGTTACTACCACCACCACCGCTGCCCCAAACGTGCTATCGAGCTGTCGCCGCGCTGGCGCCTGCGTTCGTGCGCCGACGCACCAAGCGGCCCATGAGTGGTCGGGCAGCACCTCTCCACCCTCCCCCTCTTCCTATCTTGCCTCCTCCTCCACCTCCAAAAGTTCCCAACCGTGTCAACACTTCGAAGTGCATGCTCTGTGTAAGCAACGGGCGCAGGCCGACTCTGCAGTGCGCGTGCATCATGGGCCCGCGCCACAGGCGGAGGAAGGCGCGCGGCTCGTGAGGAGGGGAAGGAGGAGGAAGGAGCGGGGGGGAGGGAGGAGAAGTAGAGAGGAGAGAGGAGAATGAGGTGGAGGAGGAGGCGGAGGAGGCGGAGGAAAAGGAGGAGGAGCAGGAGGAGGAGGAGGAGGAGGAGGAGGAGGAGGAGAGGAGGAGGGAGGGCGGAGTCGAAGGACGGAGGAGGAGGAGGAGGAGGAGGAGGAGGAGGAGGAGGAGGAGGAGAGAGGAGAGAGAGAGGAGGAGGGGGAGGGGGAGGAGGAGGAGGAGGAGGAGGAGGAGGAGGGAGGGAAGGACGGAGGAGGAGGAGGGGAAGGAGGAGGAGGAGGAGGAGGAAGAGAAGGAGGGGGAGGACAAAGATGCGGTGGCGGGCGCGAGCAGCGGAGGAGGAGGAGGAGGAGGAGGAGGAGGACGGAGGGAGTAGGAGGGGGAGAACGAGGAGATTTGAGGAGGGAAGAGGCGGAGGAGGAGGTGGAGGAGGAGGAGCAGGAGGAGGAGGAGGAGGAGGGCGAAGGAGGAGGGCGGAGGTGCGCGGCGGAGGAGGGTGGAGCAGGACGAGAGGGACAAGGACGGCGGAGGAGGGCGAGAACGAGGCGGAGGAAGCGACGCTGAGCCGGTCCGAGAAGAGAGTCCGGCGCAGATTCGGTCAAGCGCGGGGCATGCATGCCGCGGGGGCCTGGCCCCCCATTCGGCCGGCCCTGTGCGGCAGGCCACCCCCTCATGGCGGTGCTGAGCTGCTGGAGCGCTCCAGAGGGGGACTGGGGGCGCACGACCCTCGTCCTCCCTCTTCCACCGTCCTCCTCCCTCCCCTCTCCCTCCCTCTCTCCTGCTGCTGCTGCTCGTCCTCTCCCTCCTCCTCCTCCTCCTCCTCCTCCTCCTCCTCCTCTTCGTCGTCCTGCTCCTCCTTCTCCGCCTCATTCCTCGCTCACTTCAGCTTCTCTGTTCCACTCCTCCTCGTCCTTGTCCTCGTCCTCCTCCTCGTCCTCCTCTTCCACCTCCTGCTCTTTCTCCTCCTCCTGCTCTTTCTGCTCCTCCTCCTCCTCCTCCTCCTCCTCCTCCTCCTCCTCCTCCTCCCCCTCCTGCTCGTCCTTGTCCTCGTCGTCGCCATCCTCCTCCATCCTGCTTTCTTATGCATAACTCCTCCGGTATTTAGCCTGAGACTTCCTCACCAATTCTGACCGTGAAGCTTGGAATCTGCAACAGTTTCAAAGATGGGAGCGGGGGGGGTCTAACTTTGACTCTGTACCTAGCGCCGCACACACCCGCCTTGAACAAAAGCAGCAGTTTCAAGGATGGAGAGCGGCAGGTTGAAAATGTTGCTCTCGCTTTGGCGCCGCGCGCAATCGCCTTGACGAATTCAGCAGCTTGATTGATGGAGGGGGCGTATTTGAGCGCCGCGCAAACCCGCCTTAAACAATTGCAGCAGCTTCAGGGATGGATGGGGGACAATGTTCAAAATGTGGCTCTCGCCTTAGCCCCGCACACCTTGGTATTGAGCAATGGTAGCCGCTTCAGGGATGGATGGGGGGCAGCTTCCAAAATGTGGTTCTCGCCTTAGCCCCGTACGCATTCGTCTTACTACATGGTTTGCGGGGGTGTTTTCACAATGTGGCTCTCGCCTTAGCGCCGCGCACATTCGTCGTAAATTTGTGCAGCCGCTCCAGGGATGGAAGGGGGGCCAACTTTCAAAGTGTGGCTCCCGCGCCAGCGCCACGCACAGTCGTCCTGACAGGCTGCAGCACTTTCAGGGATGGATGGGGGGGGCTGTTTTCCAAATGGTGCTCTCGCCCCAGCACCGCGCACATTCGTGCCCATATCCCGCAATAGTTTCACGGACAGGGTGGCGGTTCATTTTCAAAGTGGGGTTCTCGCAGTAGCGCCGCGAACGTTCGTCCCCAATCCTGCGACATATTCCAAAGATTGAGCACTGGTCGTTGTGTGTTTCCTTTACGGGGCTCTCGCCTCAGCGCCGCGCGCATTTGTTGATCCATGCGACGCTGAGCAGGATGAAAGGCGGCTGTCTTTCTAGCTGGGATTCTCGCTTGAGGCTTGGAGAGCTCAATGCAATACGGACCCGACATTTCAACGCAGGTGGCGCTGCACGGATTCAGGGGAGGCCCTTTTTCCGAAACGGAGCTTCGCCTGACTCCCCGAATCTCCTGACCAGCAGCGCAACCCTGCGAGGCACGTTCCCGGATGGGAGGGGCGGTCCTTCTTCGCAGGGGAGTTTCACTGGACACCTCGCTGAACTGTACGGCAGCAGGCGTTTCCTGTTTCGGCGTCTGCACCAGAGGGATACAGGGCACCAGCAGTGTAACCTTGCGAGGCGGGAGGGGCGGTCCTTTTTCGCAGGGGAAAATCTCACTGGACACCTCGTGGAACTGTATGGCAGCAGGTGTTTCCTGTTTCGGCTTCTGCACCAGGAGGGATACAAGGAACTCGTGTTCCTTATTCGCAGGGAAATCTCACTGGACACCTCGTGGAACTGTATGGCAGCAGGTGTTTCCAGTTTCGGCTTCTGCACCAGGAGGAATACAAAAGGCACTCGTGTTCAAGACAGCGCCTGGCCAACACGGCAGGCCCAGGCCCAACTGCTCTGGGCTTTCCAAGGGGGCCGCGTCTGGTAGTGGGAGGGGAAACGTGTGGGCGTAGGAGGAGGGGACCTCGGGACGGGAGGGCGCAGTGCGGCATCACTGATGCATCATTTGGTTTACTCTGGTCCTGGAAGAGGAGGAGAAAAGGGGGAGGGCGATGAGGAAGGGGGAGCGGAGGAGGAGGAGGGGGAGTTGAGAGAGGGATCGGAAGAGGGAGAGGAGGTGCGGGGACAGCAAACAACCAAAACCACGTCGAGGCCACACTCTGGGAGATGCCTTGCGCATGCCAACAATGGTCGGAACACCGAAACCAGTTTCGTACTGGTTGTGGTCCATGTGGCGTCCCAGGGCGACCAAATCAACCACAACCACAACCAACGTGCTCATGCCGAGGTCGGTGGGTTCTCCCCCGAGGGACCCTCCCGAAACATCCACGTAGTTGTTGTTGTGGCTCCCTGTTATGCCAGGAGGAGGGGAGGAGAAGGAGGAAGAGGGAACGAAGGAGAATGAGGAGGACAAGGGAGGAGACGGGACAGTAAGAGGAGGAGGAGAAAGAGGAGGAAGAGGAAGAGGAAGAGGAGGAGAAGGAGGAGGAGGAGGAGAAAGAGGAGGAAGAAGAGGGACAGGCCTGCGCCGTGGCCCCCCTCTGGAGCCGCACCCACTGACGGGCCAATTCCGGGCCAACTACGAGGCCGATTACAAGCGCGCGGCAGGCGGCCCGCGAGATTCCGCGCCCGGGCGCGGCGCGAGGAGGAGGAGATGGAGGGAGGGCATGCCCAAGAGGGAGGGAGAAAGGAGGACGGAAGGAAAGAAGGAAGGAAACAACGCAGGAAGGAGGAAGGACGGAGGGGGGGAGGAGGGGAGGGAGGAGGTGGAGGGATCAGGAGGGAGGCAACAGGGGAAGTATGGGGAGAAGGGAGGGAGGGAGGTGGAGGGAGAGGAGGAGGAGGCGGCGGAGGAGGAGAGGATGGAGGACGCGAGGATGTAAGATGAGGAGGACGAGGGGGGGGGCCGAGGAGGGCGAGGCGAGGCGAGCACGAGGAGGACGACGAGGGCGAGGAGGAGGGCAAGGGCGAGGAGGACGAGAATGGGCAGGGCTCCAAGCTCACGCCGCCCGCGCGGCGGGGGCCCGCGACGGGCGCAGGAGCTCCACGGCGCGCAGGTCCTCCTCGGGCACGGGGAGAGGGGGGGGAGCGAGGAAAACGGGGAGGAGGAGGAGGAGGAGGAGGAGCAGGAGGTCGGTCGGTCGGTCAATCGCCATGTGATCCAGATGCTCACTTACCTTGCCAAGCGTAGGATCGGCGTGCGCGAACGATGCACTCTGCACCCCGCGTTGTCAAAATCTGAAGGGAGTCTCCCCCTGGCCCAAATACGGGGGCACCATGAGCCACAACATGCCATCAAACTGAAAGAGGCTAAAAGAAAAAGAGAAAGGAGGAGGGGCGGGGCCTGGTCCAGCGTGTCCGTGGCGCACGGTCGCGCGCGGACGCTGCCCATCCGTTCGCTACCACGCGCTCCCTCCCGCCCGCACCCCCCCGGGAACAGGGCGACGAAGGAGAGGGGGGGGGCGGGGGGCCACCCCGCGAAAGGAGCGAGAGAGGCCACGGAGCCAGAAGAAGAGAGAGGCAGGGGGGAAAGGAGACGACGACAGAGGGAGGAGAGACAGCAGCGCAGAGAGCAGCGAGGGGGGGGTGCGGACAACAAGTTAATTGCACAAATCAAGGAGTCCCAAACAGGCCTACAAGAAACTCATCCCTACCCAGACGCCCTCCTACGACGCTTCCTCGGAGCGTCGCAGCTGTCTGGTGGGGCCCACTTACCTGAAAATCGAACATGCGTTCTCTCAGCTATACTCATATTTGGCCTAGGACTCTGCGCACTACTGCTCACTGCTTCTTGCCTCTCAACAGCCTCTCCAGCGATCCCTGGATGCGACGCTCTCCTGTGTTCCTCGGTGGAGGACCTGGCTTCGGCACACTGCCCAGCGCGATGTACAAGCGGGTCAGAATGGCATTCATTGGCTGCATCATCCCGTTGATCTGAGCCCATGCACTGATCAGAAACGTGTGTCGTACTTGGGCCGGCTGGCCCTCGTGCTGATAGGCCGACTTCACGCGATAGTATCTCACGTATTCGCACGCTATTGCTAAAGGCTCTTGTTTGAGCCGCTGCACGAAGTCTTTCAGGAAATCCATGCACTGTTTGAGCTCCCCGACACTGCTCACCTGGACATTGGTCGCCAGAGCTTCGAGCACCGCTATCCCTACTGCCAACGATGGGGGACCGTGTACGTGATCGGGCTTGCCCTCCACCGTTTGACTGTACTGCTGTCCTGCTGCTACTGCTACTGCATTGATACTGCGATCCTGAGGCATGAGGTGGGTCGAGAGGAGCGCGCCCTCGAGGCCCCGAATCCGCTGGGCATGATTCAGGGGTGCTTTCATGACCCCCACCGCCGTTTCGCCATCGCTCTCGTCGCCCTGGTTCGCTGAGCCCCCCCCCGACTGCCACCCTCCTGTACTTGGCTCCCTCCTTGCCCTTGCCTCCGCCTTTGCCATCTCCGAATGAGCTCTTCTTGGAAGTGCGTGACTTGTCGTCCACCTCCATCGCAGCCTGGACTTTCTCGGCCGTGATCGGGGGTAGGGCCCAGGTCGCCATGCGTAGTCTCTGGGGCTGGTAGTGTGATATATGCTTCTGCCGACAGCTGCACGTGAATCCGTATATGCACCTGCAGAGCCGAAAGGCTCGGGAAGTCGTCACCACAAGCTGGACATACATAACTGGTTGTTTCCTCAACTTTGTGAACGAGGTGGCGTCGATCCGCACGACACACCCGCTTCAGAAACAGGTTCCTGACATGTTGGCGCGCAACGGCACGGTTACTAAACGTCGTCCTACACCACGGGCGCTGATTTGTAACTGTCAATACTTGGCACATAGCTCTGTGTCCGTGCGTCCCCCCTCCGTAAAACTCATATGAGCATGCCGCCCCCGCTTGTCGTGGAAGTGCAATCCGCATTCACTCCCATCCTCGTTGAGTTCCCGACACGCCCACGCTGCTGGTTCTTCTGCTGGAGGAGGGGCAGGAGGAGGATCGTGCTCTGAGGGTTCCAAAGTGGGTCCAGTGCTCCAGAAGGCCTTCCGAAGTTGTGAGAAATCGAGCTGCTCAAAATGACTGGCATACTCTCGGGTGAAGACCTTCAGTACCTTGCCCTCCAACTCATAAAGAAGCTCCTCTCCTCCTTTGACAGACCCTATGGATTTCAGATCACCCACCACCCGGCTAGCCCAGGGATTGCCGCGGTAGTCGCCATCTTCTGTCATCATAAGTCGGTGATCCAGGATCGTTGGTTGTTCCTCGGACCTAAACTGGCCAAAGAGTGCTGCAAACAGCTGTCGATTGTCCTGGGGGCTCGTCGCGACCGATTGCCACCACTGAAGCCCGCGGATGCGGAGTTCCAGCAACGGCGGCACCATTCTTAAATCTTTCCAGACAGCACGCGAGGGCAGGCTAGTATGCTTGACGGTCCCATCGGGTTGAGGTGTTTTTAAGGTCCCCTCCCCATGCATCAAAGTACGTCCCCATTTGACCAGGAGAGTATCAATCGGCTCGCAGTCCTTTTCTGAGACGCAGTATGCCTCCATCCCAGACAAGCCAGCAGACTGGACCCTCGCCCTGAACACCAGAACCTGGAGATGCCTCGGGACCTTGTCAGTGAACCAAAACCGCCCCATCGAATACCAGGCAAGTTTCATACTCTGGATAGCAGCCTCCCTTCGCTTGCCCACACGGTAAAACTGGTTAAAACGTCTCCCCAGATACGCCGTTGTCGTGGCAACCGAACCAGAAAGCACGCACAGTCCACCAGACAGCTCACGAGATTCGACATGTGCTCCCTGCCCCACAAGACGCGGCACCACCACCTGTTTCCCATGATTTTGAGCTCCTCCTACTGTGTGCAGCTGCATATCGAACTGCTCACTCGCTCTGCGTACTCCTGCTGCTAAACCCTGCGCAGTACTAGCTATCAACTTGTGTGCTACATCATCGAGAAAGACAGTGGTGCTCACATCGATCGGGCGCTCATCAGGATCCCACGGGTGCTGACATACTAAATCCTGGGCTGTCGGTTCTTGGCTACGTAGATGCAGCCATGGGGCAAGCACTGTTCGGGCAAACGTCCTGATGTACTTGCTGGGGGGCACTCTGGTGCCCCTGGAGAACACCCTCATGGGCCAGCAAGTGACACGGTCCATCTTGTGCATCAATCGTACTACAGCTATTATGATTGGTCGTGGTACCGATGAATACATCCTCAAGCGCAGCATGCATCATATTAGTGTCGTCGAATGCTTCCAACCGAATGCTGCCAAATGCATTCGTTCGATCGTAGAACACCGTTGCGTGAGAAACCCCATGGGCTGCTAAGCGCTTGCCCGTCGCAAGTTGGATAGTAAGAGCGGCCTCTCGTCGCCTGCGTCTCAGTCCCCCATGCAGACAGTCCAATAAGTCGCGGTCAGTGCAGCAGTAGTCCCCCCTATCTGTCACAGTTTTTGTGCATGCTTTGCTAAAGTGACACATGCGGTGCACAACACGCAGGGCGTTCATACCGGTGTTGCCTGAGGGTTTCGGTATCGGGCATGCCCAGGAGCGGCTCCAATCCCGCGGTAGCCCCCCCATCCCGCGGACCATTTTTAGGACCCCAAACAGGCGCCTGTGGAACCAAAGCATATCAGGCAGAGTTGCGCTAAAAGCATGCTGACGCACTCGTGCACACAACATGCTGGGATGAAGCAGCATGCGCAGGACCTCAAGGGGGATACTCCAAGGCGGGCAGCTCTTCCGAAGTTTCATCTTGAGCACAGCTCTTCTAACTGCCGCAATGTCCCTCTCACATGCATCGCGCCAGTCGGGGTCATAGAGGTCAAGGCCAGGTCCTGGGTCAGCGGGAACTTCTAAGATCGGTGGCATATCAATCGCAGTGCAGCTCTGCCCTCCCTCCCTACCAGGGCGACCTAATAACTCCGTCCACATCGCGCACGCGGGGCGGATCGTCATCGGCACATTGTGGAACCTCTTTCCTGGTCATACTGCCGTCATCGCCATGCGACGCGACAGCCCCGCAATAAGGGCAAGGTCCCTCTTCCTCCAGGCCTCCTTGATTTGCTGGGCAAGGGAGTCCAGACGCTTAGCACGGGCCCTCTAGAATGCCTCCGAAGGTCACGAGTTACATTGTTCAAGTCAATACACACCCTGGCCAGCTCAGCAGTCCGACCCTCGTCGTGACCCTCCGTGCTCCCCAGTTGTTCCCTGAGGCTGGCTCGACGGGTCAGTAACTCTCGTTGCTGCTCCCTACCCTCCTGCACCGTCACATCATCACTCGTGCGCTGTGCATAGTACTTATACGCCACCTCCTGCACACACTTAACCCGTGAACCCCACGCATGATCAGGACTATCATTGTGCTCGTGTTGCATCCATGTACTCTTGTCGTTCATATATGCACGCTCCACTTCCCGTAGAAAAAGCCCCCGATCTTTGCCCACCATTACTCCTTGTGTAAGCCTATCCAGATCCCACCTATGTTCTTTTTTGGATGGTACCGATGGGAAATCCAGAATCTACCACACCTGCACTTGTAACGGCCAGTGGTCCCACCGTCGGGCGGTATTCACCATCTGCAGCTTGCGGCCCTTCCGTTCAAGGATACGCGAGTGAGCAATCGAGCGAAGCCAGCTTCGCGGGGCCGCTACATAATCAATGCGCGTGCTGCCCCGATGTCCGTAGTACGTATCATGGCCTCCCACAAACGTGTTTAGCAGGCACAACCCATATTTCCCCAGGGGCTCACGAAGTTGTTTCATCGCAAAGTGTTCCTGGCGCGGCGCCAAGGGGCCCACAGGATCCATAGCAGGATCTACAGGGGTACCTCCGTCTCGCGGGATGCCCGCATGGTCATTGAAGTCCCCACCGATTACAATGGACACACGCGCGGGTTGTCGTGCACAGATACTGTCAACCCACCCAAGTATTTCACGCACACATCTCTGGTAAGCAGCCTCATTACGTCGTACCGAGGGGCGTGGCGGCAGGTACATGACACAACATAACAAATGAAATCGTCCGCTTCTCACGATCACAGCGCCCACCCTCCCTTGTAAGGTGGCTGGGGGGGAAATACTTTCCACAATATGTTGGATACGAAACATGTCTTTGCGTAGTCGTATTTGTACGCCTGCATGCACGCTACTGAATGGTGTACGCGCATATCCCCACGACAGTATATGGACCTTCTCGTCTGGCACATTGATACAGGGTGTGTCGTGCACGCGCTTGCGTAGCCGAGTACCCGTCACAAACACAACGTCCTTTGTACAGAACTCTCGTGAAACATCCTGGCACCTTCCTGGCTGAATAAGTGAACACACATTCTACGCTACAAAGTTAAGAGGTCGAGAAGAAGACATGCGGGAGAGACTCCATGGAAAGGGGAAAAAGATGTGCGCAACAGTGACAGCGGAAAGGATGTACAGTAGGCGCGTATGCATGGCCGCCATTGGTCCAAGCGGCGCCTAGGAGCAGGAGGAGGAGGAGGAGGAGGAGCACCAGTGTAAACCCAAGACTCATCAACGATGTTGGAATCCACCCTCCCTCCAAGCTCCCTCTTCATAGGCCCCATACGACGGTTCATTTCCACTGAAGGAACCGCCCTGTTGGAAGACTACCGTTTGAAGGCCATGACGAATGCCAACACATTATTCTCGGGGCTCCAATGCCACGGATCAGACTGACTGTTGCGACCCTCAATCGTGCCAGAACGCCACTCCTGAGACGTCAACACCGCGAATCAACGTGACTGCAACGCCCCGACAGTCCTGGATCGCTCCAACACACCACTTCTGGTAGGTCAACCGTGAGAATCACAGGAACTCTGGCAAATGTTTGAAACGAATGTGTGCGGCGCTCGGGCTAGAGCCACAATTTGAGATTGAGCCGCCCTCGGTCCGCGAAACCCTTGCAACATTGTCAGACGGATGTGCGCGGGGCGAAGGCGGGAGCCACATGTTGAAAACGGCCCGCCCTCCACCTGTGAAACTCTTGCACTTCAGAAAACGAATGTGCGCAGCGACAAAAAGTGAGAACCACATGTTGGAAACGGCCCGCCCTCCATCCGTGAAACCCTTGCAACTTTTCTCAAAACGAAGGTGCGCTGCGCTGCGGCGAGAGCCACTTTCTGGAAGCGGCCCGCCCTCCATCTGTGAAACTGTTGTCAGCTTTGAAACTTCAAGCCCATCAATGGTGAGAAGGAAGTCTCAGGCGAAACGCCCGGCCGGCCCTTCCGACTGGCCTCGGGGTGCGACAGGGAGGAGTTATTCCTGAGGAAATGGAATGGAGAAGAGGCAGGAGGAAGGGCGGGGGTTAGGAGGAGGAGGAGGAGGAGGAGAAAGAAGGGCGGACGGGTGGGAGGAGGAGGAGGAGGAGGAGGAGGAGGAGGAGGAGGAGGAGGAGGAGAGGAGGAGGAGAAGGAGGAGCAGGAGGAGGAAAGGAGGACGAGGACGAGGAGAAAGAAGGGCGGGCGGGTGGGAGGAGGAGGAGGAGGAGGGGGAGGAGGAGGGGGAGGAGGAGGAGGAGGAGGAGGAGGAGAGGGGAGAGGAGGAGGAGGAGGAGGAGGAGGAGGACGAGGAGGAGGAGGAGGAGGAGGAGGAGGAGGAGGAGGAGGAGGAGGGGAGGCGGACGCAGGAGGGAGGAGGAGGAGGACGCAGAATGGGGAGGAGAAACAATAATAAGCATGAGAATAGTGACAACAATTAACATAATTATACTGAGAGGAAGAAAAATGATAAGTAGAAGAATAGGAAGAAGGAAGACGGGAAAGGAAGGAGGAAGGAGAAGGGGGAGGAAGAGGCGGAGGAGGGAGTGAGGGATGTGAGGAGGAGGAGGAGGAGGAGGAGGAGGAATACGAGGGACGCGGACAACATTCGACGACGACGAGGGCGAAGATCTCGAGGAAGATTCCGGAGGCCCTCCTCCGGCACCAGCCCGAACTCCCTGGAGAGGCCCGCGAAGCGGGCGAAGCAACAGGCCAAGTGCCGGTCGGCGCCGTAGCGCACGACGTCGCCGTGGTGGCGGGCGAACGCGTGCGCGTAGACGTGCAGGACGCGCCGGAAGGCGGCGCCCATCCTCTCCATGAAGCACGCCGGCAGTTCCCCACCGTCCTGGGGCCGCGGGGGGGGGGATCGATAAGGATTGAGGATCGCGGGGGATCGAGGGTCGAGGAGGGTCGAGGATATTTTTTTGTCTACCGCACCCGTTGGATGAAGGGTCGAGGATGATCGAGGATCAAGGGGGACAGGATCGAGGGGGATCGAGGATCGAGGGTGACCGAGGGGGACCGAGGAGGATCGAGGAGGGTCGTGAGGAATCGAGGATCGAGATGGATCGAGGAAGATCCTGATCGAGCAGGATCGAGGATCCATGCTTTTGGAAGGCCGCTGGGAGAGGAAGGGAGCTGAGGAGGTCGGGGAGCCCAGATTCTTTTTGACGTCTGTGTTTTTTGTTGGGCCTCTGGAGGCCTCGTACTGCAGAGGGAGCCGTTCAGAGACACGTCCCCGACATATCTGCGGTGACGAGGCCCCCGGGACAGCAGGGCCACGCGTTCCCCTGGGCGGGGAATCGCCTCCTCTCGTCGGGGCGTCTTGCTGCCGCAGCGTAAGAGACGGCCGAAGACAGCCTGCATGTCTGAAGGTTACTTTTTGTGGCCACCACCCCATCCCACCAATTGCATCCACAAGCGGCGCATAAGCGATGATGCGTGGACGAGCGGGATGCACAGCTACGATTCCGGGACAGGTGCGGAGTGCAACCTGCATGTCTGAAGTGACCGACATGCCAGCAACCCAGGAGGGGTAGGTGCTGGCGCGCAGACCACACCAGAGGATGTATGAATCCCCTTGTCGTGATGAACTCACGACGGACGTTGTTTTGCGGTTCTCGAACTCTGGGGGGGGCCCGACGATGTACTGGGCTGCGGGACCTTGCAAAAGCAGCTCGGGCTGGAAAACCAGTCCGGGAGAAGGGGGGTCCAGATCTCGGGGCGTGCACGGATCGCAACGCCCGAGCTCTGGGTTCCCCGGCGGCCCTGACTCCGGATCCGCCCTACTTTGGGGAAATTCGTAAGTAGGGCTTGGAATTTCCGCCTTACTTTTCAAGCCCCGCTGATGCCAATTTCCGCCCTACTTTTCTGCTGCTGTTTCCGCCCTGCTTCTGTGGATTTCCGCCCTATTTGTATGCTGGGTGCAGCAATTTCCGCCCTGCTTCTTTTTCGGCCTCTTATAGGTGGATTTCCGACGCAGTTTTAAGTTGGAAAAAACCCCAAAGAAGGGCGGATCTGGCGTCAGGGACCTGGGCCCGGACCGGCGACGACTGAGCCGACCCCGCCCTCTCGCCGCAGGCGCGGGAGGAGCTGCCTCTTCAGCGTGGCGCGCGGCCCTCCAGCGCCGCCCCGCCGCCGGAACTCGCCCTGCCCAGCGGAGCGCCCTGGACTCGAGCTGCAAAGCAAAAGCAGGCATAGGGCATGCCCCCCTGCAGGCGGATGTTGGACGAAGAATTGCAAATCGTCAGAAAAATGCCCCAGAATATTCGAAAATGCCTCCCCTGACCATCTTGTTTTACTATTTCTTATACTTCCTCCTGCAAAAGGGACACGCCCGACTTGAAAGTACAGTCGCAGTCGTCCGTGGCTCTCCCTGCTCTGCCCACTCGGGCTTCGCTCGCCCCCGACACGCCCGCGGGGACGAGGGGCCCGTGGCATCGGCGACGCCCCGCCGATCATGGTCGACGCTGCTCGGGCCCCGGGACCGCGAGGCCGCGCGCTCTGGAGCGCGGCGGGGCACCCGCGACCGGCGATGACTGGGCGATCGGGGGTCGACGCACCCCCGCCGGATCGGAGGAGGAGGAGGAGGAGGAACGAACGAACGAACCACCACATCGGACAGCTGTCCGGGCCTGCTCAGACCAGGTGGGTGAGGCCATGGCCTCCTGTAAACATAGAGACATGCACAGGAACTGCGAGACACACAATACATGATTCGGTGCAACACACAAAAAGTTATGACGGAGGAGGAGAGGAGGAGGAAGTCCTGGTTGTGAATGTCGGCGACGTGCTGATGTATTTGTGTTCGAGTGTCGACCACGTGGTGGTGTCTTGAGCTGAGCGAACCCAAGTGAGGTCGTTCGGCTTGCCCTGCTCGTTGGTTGGCGTGGGCGCTGGGTGTAGGTCGGGTCGGTGTTCTTGAAGGAAGCTGATGAGGTCGTCGTCCCAGCGCTTGCGCTGGCCGCCGTGGTGTCTCCGGCCACGTTGCCGTGAGTTCTCTCCTGGTTGCCAGTGCAGTGCACGCCACGTCCATCTGGTGGGCTCGTGTTTGGCTACCTTGGATGCCATGCGCCACGACCTCTGTCTGTGAATCGTCTCCCAGTTTTCGATGTGGTGGTGTTGCATGAGCTGTTCTGCGCGCCGCGTGGCTCGCTGGATGTAGTCGACCCACGGCTCCATCGCGTCCTCGTCATTGTTGTTGTCGTTGCTCTCGCTGTGTCGGTCGGTCGTGTCTTGTTGGGGCGCGTTGCTCTCTGCGTCGTCGCTGCTGCTGGCTTCTTGGTCAGGTGCTTGAGTGGTCGTGCGGTCGTCCGCGTGTTCTTGGGTGCTACTCGTCGGGGTCGTTTGGCGGGTAGCGCGTCGCCTTGGTGTCCTGATGATCATGCGGAGCATGCGTCGTTGTGTTCGCCGCAGGTGTTGCCGAAGAGGTTCCGTGAGCGTCCATGTCTCTGCTCCGTAGAGTGCTGCGGGTGTTACGGTCCGGCTGAAAAGTCGAAGTCGGTGTGCCAGTGGGTAGTGTTTGCTTGTCAGCTCCTGTTTGTGCGAAGTGAACGTTGCCCATGCTGCCCTCGTACGGTGGTGGATTTCAGTCTCCATCGCGTCGTGAAAGCTGATGAGCTGACCTAAGTACTTGATGCTGCCATCGTGGGGAAGGATGTCGATGTCCATGCCCTGAATGTGTACTGTGCGCGAGCTTGCCCTGCCAGTCCGTCTGGTCTGGTTGCTGAGTATTTTGGTTTTGGAAGGGTGCAACTCAAGTCCGTGAGGTCGCACTGCGCGCACGATGTCGTCGAGCATCGCGGTGAGGCGCGGTAGAGTTTGGCTAGTAAGGAGCACGTCGTCGGCGAAGCGGAGGTTAGTGAGCGTGGAGGTGGTGGTGAATCCTAGCTGCACTCCCTTGCCCTTCTTTTGCCAGTCGGTGATTAGTGGTGCAAGACTGTGCTGTAGCAAAGCGTTGAAAAGCAAGGAACTGAGCGGGTCGCCCTGCTTCGTTCCCCGGAGGAGACTGAAGGACTTGCTGCTGACGTCAGTCCTGACCGTGGCCGTCTGCCCCTCGTACAGCTGTTGGAGTAGTGAGATGTATCCTCGTTGGACGCCCTGCGCCTCCAGCGCTGCCCACATGCTATTGTGCTCGACGGTGTCAAAAGCTTTTTTGAAGTCTAGCGCCGCTACCCACAAGTTCTGGTTCCATTCGTGCGCGCGCTCACGGAGAATATGGAAAGCGAATAAGTGGTCGGTGGTTGAGTGTCCTGGCCTGAAGCCGGCCTGGTCTGCAGTTTGTCGGGAGTCAAGGAGGAGGAGGAGGAGGAGGACGAGGAGGAGAGGGAGGAGGTGGCGGCGGATGCCGGGAGCGGCGGCGCTGGCGCCCCAGTCGCCACGCGGCGCCCCGGCCGCCAACTGGCGCCCCGAGGTGGGGGCGGCGGCTGGGGAGGAGGCGGGTGCTGGGCGGTGGGAAGAGGCGCCGCGGGGGCGGCGGGGGTGGGGCGGCGGGAGGCGGAAGGAGGAGGCGGCGGCGGCCCACCCCGGCCCCCGCGCGGGCCCGGCGGCGGCGGGCAGCCGCGAGGGCCCGGCGCGCGCGCGGGCGGGTGCGCCCGCGCGGCCGTGGGCGCGCATGCCCGCTCGCCCGGGGGGTCCCTCCGGACTCGGGGACCCCCCAGGGCGGCGCCAAAAGGAGGAGGAGGAGGGAGGAGGAGGAGGGAGGAGGAGGAGGAGGAGGAGGAGGAGGAGGAGGAGGAGGAGGGAAGAGGAGGAGGAGGAGGAGGAGGAGGAGGAGGAGGAGGAGGAGGAGGAGGAGGAGGAGGAGGAGGAGGAGGAGGAGGAGGAGGAGGAGGAGGGAGGAGGAGGAGGAGGGAGGAGAGGAGGAGGAGGAGAAGGAGGAGGAGGAGGAGGAGGAGGAGGAGGAGGAGGAGGAGGAGGAGGAGGAGGAGGAGAAGGGGGAGGGCCAGTTGAGACAACGGCGGCCCTCCCGCCGGGGCCGAGGCGGCGCAAAGTCGGTCCCCAGACCCTTCCTGGGGTGCATCGTGGCCCACTTTCCGACGCAGATCCAGCCGTGGCGACGGAGAACGGGAGGCAGAGCGGCGCTGGGGAGGGCCGCCGCGATCCCCCGGCGCGTGCCAATCACCGCGGCGACCTCGTTGGGACTTCTTCTGCCCGCCTCGGCGGGCACTATTTCCTTGATTTTCCGAGCCGCTCGAGGCGAAACGCTCTGATGCCCCAGCGCGTTACTGTGCTCTGGGGCAGAAGAACTCATATGGCTGCTGATGTTGCCTCCCCCCATCACCTCTCTTTCCGCTGCAGCCGGACTTGACGCAGCAGTCGGTCCCAGCCCCGGCTACGACGACGAGGGTCCGAAAGAGCCCCAAGAGGCCACAAGAGGGCCCCTCAAACATACCCCCACAGTACCATACCAGAGGCTCCTGGTATGATACCGTTGGGAGCCTTCTTGGAACCCTCTTGGAGCCCTCTCGGGACCCTCTAGGGGGCCTCTTAAAAATCTCTTGGAGCCCTCTGCAGTCTCGGTCCCAGGAGGTTCTAACAGAAGCCCGAAGCGCACCAAGAGGGTCCTAAAGAGCCCGAGAGGCCCTGCAAACAGACCCACACACTGTCATTCTGGGGGTCCTTTGGGGCCCGCTTGTGGGCTTCTGTGCTTTCCAGAACTCTTTCGTCGGCACTTTTTACCAGCTCGTGGGATGTGTCCGCGGTCTCGGGGCATGATGTACCGAACCAAGCAGACAAGCCCAAACCAGACGAAGCAGATCAACCTGATCACCAACATTACAATGCAACAACAAGTGTTTTGCTGTGGATGGGCCTCAAGTAAACAAATTAGACGAACCAAGCCTGCCACCCAGACTACCCAGACCAAGCAGACTAGCCAGTCAGACCAGCCAGGTAGACGTATCAGACCAGCCAGGTAGACCGAACAACCAGACCAACCAGACCAACTAGCCGTTCAGACCAGCGAGGCCCAGACCAGACTAAGCAGGCCGACCTGCCTGGGCCCAGCAAACAAGCCAGCCAGACCAACCAGACCAGCCAGCCAGACCAGTCAGACCAGCCATACGGGCCAGCCTGCAAGGCGCCACTGCAGCGCAAAAAGAACCGCAACGCAGAAAAAGACATCAACGCAATCAAAATCTGCAATGCCAAACAAACGTGTGCTCGTGTCGTCGTCGCCGACATCTGCGCTTCAACCCTGTCTGAGCCTCCCCAAATCGCGCTTGGCTCGCACGCGGAATCCTAAGCTGAAGCTCTAGCAGTGCCACGACAGCGCAACGACAACTGCAATGCCAAAAAAGGCAATGCCCAAGCAATTGTTGTCGTGTGGCCGTCGCCGATATGTGCGCTTCAACCCTTCCTGAACCTCGCCGAACCACGCTTGACTCGCACGCGGAATCCCAAGCACTCGCGCAGCGTCACAACAGCGCAAAACAACTTGCAAAGCAGAAGTAGCTGCAATGCAGCAAACAAGTGCTTTCAATGTCGTCGTCGCCGACATGCGCACTTCACCCCTTCCTGAGCCGCCCCAAACCACGCTTGACTCCCACGCGGAATCCCAAGCTCTACCTCTAGGCACCACTACAGCGGAAAAGAAAGCTGCAATATAAGAAAAGCTGCAAGACAACGAACAATGCAATGCAAACAAAGCAATGCACAACATCTGAAATGCAACAAACATAGTTTTCGTGTGGTGGTCGCTGACCTTTGCGCTTCAACCCTCCCCAATCCTCCCCAAACCACGCTTAGCTCGCACGCGGAATCCTAAACTCTCCAGCAGCTCCGCTACAGCACACAAAAAAATGCAGTGCAAAACAATAATGGAATGCAAAACAAACGGCCATGCAAAAAAACGAGGGCTTTCGTGTGGTCGCTGGCATGTGTGCTTCAACCCTGACTGAGCCTCCCCAAACCTCTCTTGGCTCCCACGCGGACTCCTAAGCTCAAGCTCGAGTAGCGCCACTACAACGCAAAAACAACTGCAAGACAGACGCACAACTACAATGCAAAACATGCATAAACAAACTGCAAAGCAAGCACAACTGCTTTTGTGTAGTGGTCACCGGCATGTGTGCTTCAACCCTGACTGAGCCTCCCCAAACCACGCTTGGCCCCCACGCGGACTCCTAAGCTCAAGCTCGAGTAGCGCCTCTGCAACGCAAACAACAACTGCAATACAACATCGACTGCATTGCACAAACAACAGGTTTCGTGTGGTGGTCGCCGACCTTTGCACTTCAACCCTCCCTGAACTTCCCCAAACCACGCTTGGCTCGCACGCGGAATCCGGAGCACTCCAGCAGCGCCACTACAGCACAAGAGGCTTCGCTGCAGAACAAAAAACTGACATGCAGAACAAAGCTGCAATGCAAACACAACCGTTTTCGTGTGGCCGTCGCCGACCTTTGCGCTTCAACCCACCATGAACTTCCCCGAACCATGCTTGGCTCTCACTCGGAATCCTGAGCTCAAGCTCGAGCAGCTAGGGTGAAGCTGAAGCCTCGCCTCGAGCTTTAAGCTTGCTCTTTTGGAGCTTGCCGTCCCGCCGTGCGCCACAACTGCCAAGAACTTTATCCGCCAGGTCGCGTGTATGTATGCATGACTCCACTCTCCGTGCTGCGTCCTGCGCCCTCCTCCCCCCTGAGCCGATCCCCTACGTTCGCCCCCCCCCCCCCTCCCCTCCTCCCCCCCCCCTCCATGCTGCGTCCTGCGCCCTCCTCCCACTGAGCCGATCCCCTCCGTCGCCCCCCCCCCCCCCCCGAAAGTCCGTGGGAACGAGGGCCCGTATCTCCGCGCGGAGCACGTCCACCGCCTCCCTCATGCGGTGGATCGCGGGCGCTCCCTCCGCGGCGGCGCGCGCAAGAGGGGGGACAGGGCGAGCGGGGGCGTCGACGTGTGAGAGGGCGGCAAAGGGGGGGGGGGGAGCCTCCCCCAAAAAGCCCGGCAGTGAGACAAAATCACGACGGACTGTTTTTTGCCGTGTTCGGCCTCTCGGGGCTTTGATGGAGGATGGAGGATGGGGGCTTGAGGAGGAAGGATGGAGGATGGAGGGTGGAGGGTGGAAGGTGGAGGGAGGAGGAGGAGGAGGAAGAGGAGGAGGAGGAGGAGGAGGAGGAGGGGAGGAGGAGGACGAGGAGGCGGAGGCGGAGGAGGAGAAGGAGGAGGAGGAGAGCGCCCGCGCGCCAGAGCAGCACGCGGCAGCGGCGTGGCCAAAACTACGCGAGGCGCCGCTCACCGGCGTGAGCCGAGCTGGGCTGGGCGAGGGCAGCGCCGCCCCTTCCTGGTCCTCGTCCTCGTCCTCGTCCTCGTCCTCGTCCTCCTCCTCGTCCTCCTCCTCCTCCTCCTCCTCCTTTTCCTCCTCCTCTCCTCCTCTTCCTCCTCCTCTCTCCTCCTTCCCTCCTCCTCCTCCTCCTCCTCCTCCTCCCCCTCCTCCTCCTCCTCCCTTTCCTCCTCCTCCTCCTCTCCTCCTCCTCCTCCTCCTCCTCCTCCTCCTCCTCCTCCTCCTCCTCCTCCTTCCCTCCTCCGTCCTCGTCCTCGTCCTCGTCCTCGTCTCGTCCTCGTCCTCCCTCCCCCCCTCTCCTCCTCCTCCTCCTCCTCCTCCCTGTTCCTCCTCCTCCTCTTTTTTCCTCCTCCTCCTCCTCCTCCCTCCTCTCTCCTCCTCCTCCTCCTCCCCTCCTTCTCCTTTTCCTTTTCCTTTCTTCCTCCTCCTCCTCCTCCTCCTCGTCCTCCTCTTCCTCCTCCCCTTCCTCGTTCTCGTCCTCCTCCTCCTTCTCCTCCTCCTCCCCCTTCCCCTCCTTTTCCTCCTCCTCCTCCGCGTCCTCCTCCTCCTCCTCGTCGTCCTCCTCCTCCTCCTCCGCCTCCTCCTCCTCCCCTCCTCTTTCATTCATTCATTTATTCATGGGTCTGTGGAGGGCAGCCAAATCCTTGCTCGCCGACCCTCTCGTGCACAAGCCTCACCTCTGATGGGGGGCTGCGAAGTCCTCGCCCCAACCCAACCAGCCACGACCCACCACCAAGTGGCGCGCTGTGGAGGTCGCACCTGGCGCGGCTGAGTCATGTGCCCTTTGGCCAGGGCAGGCGACGCCATCAAACAAAAACTGTTAGGCGGGGGGGACAGGGCAACGGTCAAGGCGGCCTGGCAAAACACAGACCACCTCCGTGCCGAGCCCCTTTCCGCCCAAGAAGAAGTAAACAAAACGTCGCCCGTCTGGCGGAACCCCAAGGCCCGAGTTCCAGGGCTGGCTGCGTGACGCCAGCACCGCCAAACAGGTCGACAAAATGGAACAGTCAACATAACGTCGCCCGTCTGGCGGAACCCCAACGCCCGAGTTCCAGGGCTGGCTGCGCGACACAATCACCGCCAAACAGGTCGACAAACTGAAGGGAGGGTGGGTCAGAGCGACGGTCGAGGCGGACTGGCTGAACCAGGTTCCCCCCCGCGCCCTGCCCACCCGCAGGAAAAGCGGCCCCCCTGTGCAACTGTCGCCGCAGAAACGGGATTACCTCAATCTCCGCGGCCGCGCAAAAAGGGGGACGCCGACAGCACGCTGTAATGACAAGGACGGCCACAGGGACCCCAGGTCGAACCCACTGCGCGCATCAGGCTACCGCACGTGAACAGTCTAGACGGGGCGGGGCGACGGTCGGGGTGAACTGGTAGACCCAAGCCCACCCATGCCAGCCTGGCGGAACCTCTCGCCCCGAGTTCCAGGGCCGGCCGCGCGTCACCAGCACCGCCAGGCAAGACAACCAAACATAGTACCCCCGTGCCCCGCACATTCTGCAGTGAGCGGCGGCCCCCCTGAGCAACTGTCGCCGCAGGGGGAAGACTCCTGCGCTCCGCGGCCGTGCAACAGGGGGAGCGCCGTCCGCGCGCAGTAGTGACCAGGACGGCCGCAAGGACCCCAGGTCGAATCCGCTGCGAGAGTCAGGCTACCGCACACTATGGGGCACCCTGGCTGAGCTAGAAGGAATGAGCACGACCAGGGTGGTCATCCATGGGAAGAGGTCCCTTCCCCGACCCGCTCGACCCCGTCCCTCCACCAAGAGGCGGCGCTGTGGAGGATCCTCCAGGGCCTGCTGAGCCGTGTGCCCTTGGGCCAAGGCAAGAGTCCTCGCCTGAAATCTCGCAGCTGCTCGGTCTTGATATTCTTGCGCGGGCCCAGGGGATGCCTGGGCGTCTTCGTGCAATATGACCCGCAGCGCGTGCAACATAAGACTGGGACGCCCGACTTTTCGATCTGTGCAGCCCACGAGCGGCGAGATCTCCCGCTGGTGGCCGGGCCTCGAATGAGTTCCCCAAAGGATGGGGCAAAGGCACAGCACTTCCCGCCACAGGGCGGGTTCCTGAAAGAGAGAGCTTAACGAACACACTGCCACATTCTACCATTCCACAAACACAGTGCCGCTGGGTGTCTTGGGGGGTGGCCTCTGGGCTCGGATTTTGAATCGGGATCCGTATATTTCTCAAGCAGGGGGCCAGAGCTCTAAACTTGAAGCTGTAACCTTGAAAACCGTCAACCATCCGCCCAGGGCCTCCTTTACAAGATCGGCATCCTGGGGGGCCGCAAAAACTCCGGCAGCTTCACGGCGCAAAGTGTCGGCCCAGGCGTTTCCGATCACAGGGAGGTGTTCGGCCCACTTTCGATCCCCACGTGCCAGAGATTGGTGAGCTTTAACTCTGTGTATACTGAACTCTTTATCTAACCTCTGGATCCGGCGCCAGCGACCAGCCTGCTGGGCGGCCCCGTCGAGCGCTCTGAACGAGGAGGCGCGACCTGTGATCAGCGCGCCGCAATCGGCGTGGATCTCTATCTCGTCCTCGCCTATCCTAGCGGGGTCCTGCCACAGATGCTCGATAGCTTTCGAAATACCGCGATGTTCGGCCCAGGTCGCACTTCGTTTTTTTTTGTTGCGTGGAAATGGGCCTCGAACAACCACTTTTTTTAGGTCTCCACCCGCGGCGATTCCGGTCGCACGCAGTCCAGCCCGCGCGGGCCAGGAGAGGCTGCGTCGGCTCCAAACAACTCCCGTCGATGAAAACCTTCGAACGGATCAATCTCCCCCGACATGTCGATGCACTCTGCGATATCCCCCTCGGGCGGAGGCTGAGCGATCTCCGGAACTGGTATCCAGGGGGCGGTGTACAGGGGGTCCTTACCTACGGAGCTCCTCGCGGCCTGAATAATTATATCATCTACCTGCGCACGGGCTGTCTCGCCGTAGGGGCAGCGCCAAATCCTGTGAAACGCAATGTCGCACAGGCCGCAATACTGGCAGGTGGGCCCCACCCGGTATCCTCTCCTCCAAAGGACGTGACTGGTAGGGGGGGTCCCGCAAACCAGATGTTTCAGAATCTTCTTGGCCTCAAAACTCCATTTAACGCTGTTCCAAACCTTGCTGAACGGATATCCCCGTAGGCCTCTCTCGCGGATAGCTTGGGCCCCGGGGCGGAAGTCCTCGTCAGGGTCCTCGGGGAGCTGGAGCTTACGTTGAACTGCCCTGTCCAGGAGCTGCGTTTTGAGGCCCGCCACGAACAGCTTCTGGATCATAGCTGGTGAGTTCTCGGCGAGGTGTAACTCGACGTTGCTGGTGGTAGCCCATGTGGCGGGGCCCTTGCACTTCCAACCTGCTTACTCGATCCAACACAAGGTGTCTGTGATAGGGCTGCGAACCCGATGCTGCCAGCTCGCTCTACTGGCCTGTCGCTCATAAAATGCACTGGAGTACTCGAAGCTGAGGCGAAGGTCTTTCGGGCTGAGCGCGTCTCTCGTCTTAATCTGCGCGTCTGCGGTCATCCACCACTCGCGCAATGCCTCCTGAGGGTGGCGCTGGCGCGGTGGAGGGGGTCTGCCGTCGGCCAGCCAGCGCAGGTCGACTGCGGCACCTGCAGACCACGTGCCTATAAATTTGGAAGTTAAAATACGGAGCTTGCAGATCTCGCCTGGGGAATGCCCTGGAACCTCTTCCCCGTGGCAGATCGACGGCATTGCCCCGCAAGTAAAGATTTTGAGCTTTTGCGGCTTCCCTTGAACACGGTCCCGAAGATGACGCATTTTAGGGGGGGCGCGTTAAGTTGTTTCTCCACCGGGAACTCTTTTTAGCTCTGCACCCTTACTCGCCCTGACCTTGCCAATATTCAAGTCCGTACCTGGGTCCGTGATGGGGCCCGCAAAGTCCCAGAGCATTCCCCAATAGCAAAAGGAACTTGTTTTGTCATGTCCTCGGCACTGTTGGACGCGATGCTTATTTCTTTTTTCGCGTGCATTGGGAGCTCGAGGGCGTTGGTGAGCTCGAAGAGAACCCGTCCCGCAATATCTGCCAAATTGTTTATGCACATGTCGACCGTGTCGGCGATCCATTCAAGAGCTATGTCGTCGATGTGGATCGAAAGGTCGGTTCCTTCACGCGTGTCCGTCTGGCGAATGGTGGGCAACATGTAGGCTTTCACTTCGAAAGTGGCTGCGGGGGGTCCTGCGACTATCCCGCGACTGGGTGCAATCGCATCGCCTGCCACCTTGTCCACGAGGAGTCTCGTCGGCCAACGGCGGGAGTCTAAGGCTGCACGAGGAGCGAATTGAGGAAAGAAGCAGGCGCGGCCCTGCTCCAGCATGCTATCATGACTGATGCGTTCGTAGCACTGCTTCAGATCTGCCAAGGGGTGCGGCGACAACATATCCTTCGTGGTCGGCCAAGTCTGTTCTCACAACAACTGTCCACACTGAGTCGGCGGAGACCCTATGTGGGGCATGTTGAACTGACTCGACTTGGCTGCCACTCGTTCCCATTGACGGCAATGATGGGCGAGGCTCTTTGAATAAACTCTGCTGAAACGCTTGAAGA